TGGTGGGGAGACCAGACGGGTGAGGGCATGGGGAGGGGGCGCGGTGGGCAGAGGAGTTGGAAGATCATAGGGAAAGCAGAGGAATGCTGAGGAAACCCGGGTTACTGGGGTGCTCGGAAAGCTGAGCCGCGAGGGAACTGGGGCTCCCATCCGTTTGGGAGAAGCCCTGTCGGGGAAGAATGGGAGAGCCCGCCGCGGGCAGAGGGAAGCCAGGGGAAGGTTTGCTGGTGAGTCGTGCGGAGTTACATGCGCGGGGCCATTAAGTAGAGGCAGGGGTCGGGCTGAGAGACACGGTGGGGGAGGGCGGGATGCTTTACAGCCAGTCCGGGACTGGGAGGCCGGGAGCGGGGTGGAGGCCAGAGCAGAGTCCGCTTGGATCTGCGGGGGCCCAAGGCCGCAGCAGTCCCGCCCCCAGCCCGCTGTGACCACCCTCTGGGGCCCACAGGAGTTCCTACCCTGCGCACCCCAGGGCTCACTTTGTACTCACTAGGGACTGGCAGGCTTCCGGCTTCAGGGACCATGCCTCTAGGGCTGGGGAAGGGAAAGCCTGGCAAAGTCTGGGCCCTGAGGACACTGCAGGAGAGCGAATGGGAAGCTTTGGGGTGAGGCACTCGGGTCGTGCTGTCTGGCGGAGCGAGGGCTGCTTGGCAGCATCATGAAGGGAAAGTGGTGCCAGCTGCCTGTCCCGGGACCTGCCCAGGCCTGGAGGGTGCCGTCCCGGCCCCCAATTCCAGCAGGTGGGGGAGGCATCTCCTCTCCCCGCTGCCTGACTCAGTCACTGCTAAAGCAGTGTTGGGAGGCTGAGTGCAGAAAGAGATACGGCGTCCCTCCCCAGCTTCCAGGAGTCACAGAGGCTGGGGAGGTGGGCAAGGGATTGTGTGCGTGGGTTCCCTGGGGGCCGCTTTCTGGGGGTTCCCGCCCAGGTTTTGCCCTTCACTGGCTCTGTGCCCCTGAGCAAGCCCTGAGCAGGGTCCTTAATTGTCACTGTGGGGTGAAGGAGTAATCCTGGTTCTCCCTGGCGATCTGCTACTTGTTATCAGCATCAGGACTAGGGAAAGAACAGAGAAGAGGCTGAGCCATGGGGACCCTTCATCTCCCATTTTCTGACAAATCTTTTTCCAAGCTCAGCTTTCCGGGCACGTCAGTAACCCGGGTTTCCCCAGAAGGCTCTTCAGATCTTTCCAACTCCTCTGCCCCACCCTCCCCGTGTCCTCCCCTGTCAGGTCTCCCCACCCAGTGCTCCCTGGTTCCCCCAGAGCCCCCACCCCGGCCCTTATCCCCCAGGGCGGCAAGATCTCTGGTGTCTGCGTCCCTCCCCTGCTTCTCTGCTCTCCTCTCTCTTCGTTTGCTCTCCTCCTGGCCTGTCTCTGACGGTGGGGTTTCTTCTGGTTCCCAGTATTGGCCCACTCGGCATGTTGCCTTGCGTTTTGTGTTTAGATCTGGTGGTGTTCCAGGGAGCGGCTGCATCAGGTGTTACGTGAGCCAAGCCCTAACCGTGCAGAAGAGTGAGAGCTGCAACTTGCTACCGGATCAGAAGGCATCCCTCCCGGGGCTTGCTGGGCTGTGGACACCTCCCGGGCCCCTCCGTCTGGGCCCCGTGGATAGGAGGGGCCGGCCGAGCAGGCAGCTGGGCTATGGTTTGCTGCCTCCGTCTGGCCGTCCTCAGCCTGGTCATCAGCCAGGGGGCCGACGGTGAGCCGGATTCCCTGGGCTCAAGAGCTCCCCGCCGCCGGCCTTGGAGTGGGGGGCATTCCCCGGGGCGGGGGGGAGGGGGTTCTCTGTGAGCACGCGGGGTAGGGGATGAAGAGCGCTGGTTCTGGAGAAGTCGAGGCTTCTCTCAGCCACTTCACAGAGTCCTAGGGATCGCACAGAGACCCTGAGGGAGCCTCCTGTCCCAGCCCTGATTCTGGTCCCTGTTGTCCGCGCAGGTCGAGGGAAGCCTGAGGTGGGGTCAGTGGTGGGCCGGGCTGGCGACAGTGCGGTGCTGGGCTGTGACCTGCTGCCCCCGGCTGGCCGGCCCCCGCTACATGTCATCGAGTGGCTGCGCTTTGGATTCCTGCTCCCCATCTTCATCCAGTTCGGCCTCTACTCTCCCAGAATTGACCCCGATTACGTGGGTAAGACAAGGGGGATCAGGAGATACTGTGAACACCCCAACAGAGGGGGGCTGGGTGGGGGACGGGCAAGACCTCTTCTTAACTGCTCTGCCTTCCCCCTCCCCCACTGCGTCATGCCAGTTGGGGGGCTCTAGGCGGCTGGCAAGTGGGTTGACGGGCAGCAGGGTGGGTGGGTCTGTGGCCTGTGTGCTTCTCCAGCGGAGGC